TTTAAAGGAGTGCCAGGGCTGTAGGTTAGATCAGGAAGTTGTTGGGTTTTTTTTACAAAATAAATCCTAACCTATTAAAATCCAAGAAAATCACATGCATGTATCATAAGGGGTCCAAGAACTGAATTGAAAAATCTTTTAAGTAATAAAAAATAAACTGTGTTTACGTTGCAGTATTATTTCTTTCATCAGCACTTCCTTCTTGCGATTCTGTGTTGCCAAGAACTTGCCACATCAAAACGTTTGTTACAATTTGATGTAATTAATAATTGTTTCCAAGATAGGCCACTAGAGGGCACTAACACTTCATTTAAAAGGCCATATTTTATGTGCTGGATCAAGGCCATGTATCCCTTTGAGAATGATGAGATAAAAGATGCTAGCTACTACATCGTTACACTTTAATTAACGTTTTTTTTGCTAGAGCCGTTGAGGCTCTCACTGTTCGGTTGACTATCCACAAACTAAGAACACTGGATAATCTGAGACATAAAACAAAGAATAAAAACATCGATGCTGATGACTTTTTGAATGTGTCCATAGTTTCTTGGCACAAATTGGGAAGTGATTTGCCCTTTCCACCAGGGATATTTGTCCATTTTCTGGTCTTGGTTAAGGCTAAATAGCAAACACTATAATAATTTATACCTGAGACTCAATCCTGTTCCAATTCTATAAAAATTTTAACTCATTTTATGGATGCATAAAAGTATTATATAGCATTAGGAAACAATTCTGAAATGAGGATTATAAATACATTCTTACATTGCTTTTACTGTATATACAAAACAAGGGAAAGATGAAATCATAAAAAAGGGGACATGAAAAGCATCAGATGTTTTATGTACAAATGAGGATGGAGAGAAGAAATAATGCTATAAAGTTTTAATAAAAATGCACGGTATAATTATTTTTATGTATGGCTGTGTATCATTAAAGAATGTGAAATGGAGGGGAGTCATGACTGGAAACACAAAGCACCTTCCTATAAGGAAAGCTTAAGGGATTTTGGACTTAAATAAAAAAATGACACCAGGCAATATGATTACAGTAAAATGGTGAAGAATGGGATTTTCCAATCTTTTAAGGAGTCAGCAGACATGAGATCATGAGAAAATACAATGCTATTAAAAACTTTCTCCCTGCTAATTGTGTTGTTGTTAATTGCGAAGTCGTGTCCAACTCATCGCAACCCCATGGACAATGTTCCTCCAGGGCTTCCTGTCCTCTACCATCTTCTGGAGTCCATTTAAGCTCACACCTACTGCTTCAGTGACTCTGACTCCATCCAGCCACCTCATTCTCTGTCGTCCCATTCTTCTATTGCCCTCAATCTTTCCCAGCATTAGGCCCTTCTCCAGTGAGTCCTTCTCATTAGGCGGCCAAAGTATTTGAGTTTCAACTTCAGGATCTGGCCTTCTAAAGAGCAGTCAGGGTTGATCTCTTCTAGGACTGACCGGTTTGAACGCCTTGCAGTCCAAGGGACTCGCAGGAGTCTTCTCCAGCACCATAGTTCAAAGGCCTCAATTCTTTGGCACTCAGCCTTTCTTATGGTCCAACTTTCGCAGCCATACATTGCAACTGGGAAAACCATGGCCTTGACTATACATACTTTTGTTGGCAGGGTGATGTCAACGTATCACAACTTTTTTCCCATTGCCGGCAATGGGGTGGGTGTGGTTTTGTCATGACGCATCCGGCCCATGGGCTGGCAGTTTGACATCCCTGCTTTAGCATAAAGATCCCCACTGCTGCATGAATTAGCTCAGCTATTGTGAGTTTTTTTCTTCCACTAATCGTCCACACAACTCTTCTACTAATTTCCTCACTGCTTTTCCCTGACCATCATTTCATAGGCATAGGTTACAGAATCTGCCTTTTCCTTCTCCCCCCACGTATTTGGGAACACTTCAAAACAAATTAAAACTGCAAGCTGCCAACAAATGGTTCTTTTTACTTTCTCAAAACATTATAATCACTCTTGCCTTAAAGTATCGGAATATTATATCTTAGAGCAAAGTTCTGCTAATTTAGATTCAGCATATCTATGCTCCAGTATTTGAATTTGAAGTTTGCAACTGATGAAAACTTTCTTGCAGATGGCAAATAGCATTAATATGATGGAAATTAGTTGTGTGACCTCAAAATATATTTTAATACCTTTTGTCAGGGAGCATAAGTACAATGTACCTACCACATGTAGTTAAGACTTACCACAATGGAGTCTGCAAATTATGGTTGTAAAGCAGGTCATCATGTGACCAACCCAATTTTACCACTTTTTTTTTGCGATAGTTATTAAACAAACCCATTGTGGGGTGTTTTTGCTGAAACAAAAATAAATGCCTATTTTTGGCAAAAACATCATAAATCATGGCCATATGACCGTGTATCAGTGTAGCCTGATTGTTGAGTGCCTAAAATGTAGTCATGTGACCAGGGGGCAGCAGCCATTGGAACTTTGGAACCAGGTCATAAGTACCTTGGGAGTTGCTCAAAAATTGAATGGACGCTAAACAACCTGCCTTAATTAAAGGCTAAACAGAACTGCTTACGCCAGTAATGGTGAAGCTTTTAGAGACCGTGTGCCCAAACTGCAACCCAAAACCCACTTATGTATTGTCGGATGGGCGTGCCCCATTGGGTAGACATGGCTGCAGTGGTAACGGCAGCCTGGGTGGGATTAAAAGTTCAATTAATTCCAACTTTGTGAGATCTTTTTTTCCTCTGTGAGTTGAAATTGATTGAGCCCCCCCCTTTTTTTTTGCACACGGCGGCGGAGGCCTAATGCGAAAAGGTTTTATAAAACCCAGCTGAAGGCCTCGGACTGGGGCGACGGTGCATGTGCCCACAGAGAGGACTCTGCGTGCCACCTGTGGCATGCGTGCCATAGGTTTGCCACCACGGGCTTATGCTATACTTAGCATATGGTAGGGAAAGGATGCAGTGGGGTTTCTGGAATCACATAACCAGGAAGTGGGGGGGCTCAGAATGGGAGGGTTGGCAACAACAAACCCAGCTATGTCTTCCAGAGGTTTCCTCTAAACTCGATCCTTCTTTTACTGGCTTCTCCTTCCTGCTGGCAAACTTGGTCCTGTTCTCATCAGTTTTTGAAAAGTAGGCAGGATTACTTGCCATTGTGAATACACAGAACGACTACATTCAGAGGAGCTACAAGTTGAATAATAGCTGCCTTTTTTTTTTTAAAGAAAAAGAAGAGGTGGAATAAGGTTATGGTACCATCTTTTATCACTGGAGATATATTTTATTTTAAAAATATCTAAACTGCTTTTGATCCAAACAGAATCAGTACTGTGCATGGACATAAATTACATTATAGCCAATTCAATTTAAGGCAAGTATTAACTATCTTTGCATGCATAATAGAACTGAGAGATGAAAACTAAAATATAAAATCTTTTAATATGCATGAGTGGAAAAAAGCTTTCCGTAGTTCTAGAAATTCTCAACAGGGTATCAGTATAGAAAGATTCCTTTGATAGCAGAAGTGGAAAAATTCTCAGATCTCATTTGAAGATAATGCATGGGTAGCTAGGTGTGGGGGGCATCTTTAGTTATTTAAAATTGTAGATTTTCACTTGGACTCAGTTCTGCAAACTGGAAAGTTGCCTCATTTGCTGCTGTACATGATAGGATCCAGCATTTAAACAAGGTATTAGCAGAACTATATTTTTTTTTTAGGAAATAGATTTTAAATAAGATTCAGGATTCATGCATAGAATTGGGTTTGAAAAGCTATAAAAGGCTACTTTGTACAATTTGTTAGTGAAACACAGAAACAGGATGTTCCTCACAGAATAGGATGTTTTATTTCAGATAGGATGTTCCGCCTAAATCAGTGGTTTTCAACCTTTTTAATGCCGTGACCCCCAACCGGTCGTAAGTCAAGGACTACTCAACCGGTCATAAGTTGAGGACTACTCAACTGGTGCAGCACCGTTTGCAGAATGGGACTTTTGGCGGGCTCAGCAGGGCAGAGACAGCCTGGACAATTCCTATTGGCTTTTGAAAGCCAATAGAATTAGACTCTTTCAAAAGCCAATAGAATAAAAGGGAGTAGCACAGCTAAGGAAAAGGGTGAAAAAAATGGCAGACTGCGTTGTTTGGCGACCCCCGTGAAATGGTCGTTCGACCCCAAATGGGGTCCCGACCCACAGGTTGAGAACCACTGGCCTAAATCTACAATCCCAGTTATGAATATTCTCTACAATTTCTAGGATATTTACATGCTACTTTACTATGTACTTGATTTTATGTATTCTTTAATATATAAACATCACAGAACAGAAATAATTTTTTTCACCCATTTCCCCTTTGTTGGATTTTCTATTTCCTCCTCATTGCTATTAAACAGTATTCCTTCATACAGTTTCCTTCTATTTGTACTATCACTAATTCTGTTTCTCCTTCCCTAGATCTTTAATGAGCATTATGGTCATTTTCTGGATGTAAGATTTTCCTTCCTTTAAAAATAAAATACATAATTGACATTAAGGCCTAGCACATGGAAAACACCAAGCCACTGAATCTTGCCAGAGTTGAGTTGAAGCCTGTTCTTCTCTATCCAGTACCCCTAAAGCCTCTGGACATTGAAAAATCACCTGAGACATATCACTTGGTTAACCTAGGGTGGATAATATCATCAGCATATTGATAATACTTTACTTTGGGCCAGCAAATGATCTCAGCCAGCAGCTTCACGTGCTCTTTATTCCTAGCATCCTGAGCTGGTCCAAAAGGATACTGATATTGAAAGCTGCTGATATATTAAGGAATACTATGGAGGACACACCACTTTCTTTTCTAGAAGTCATCCACAAGCAAAAGCATTGCTGTCGTGGCCCCCTATCCAGTTCTGAAGCCTGATCAAAAGGATCCAGATAATCCACTTTTTAAAGGCTCTCTCTTCAGCACAACTACTTTGTCAACAATCCTTCTTGGAAAGGGAAAGTTGGAGACAGAAAGAAAATGGTCCAATATGGCTGAGTCCAACAATGGTATTTTAATATTTCCTGAAGATAGATGATTCAGTACAAACAGAAGGTGACATTTTATTGAAAATAAAACCAGACCTGCTCTTGTATCAATAATAGTATTATAATAAAAATATATCTGGTTATTTACTTATGAATCTATACCATATCCTGATTATTTTATTGTCGTCATGATTCATTTATTGTAATCACCTTGAGATTACAATTTGTCTTCTGTACTATGCAATAGCTGAAGGAAAAGAGACTATATGGTGAACAGAGGATATAGCCAAACTATTATCCACCACAATTATAGATGTGGGTGATCAAAAAGGGAGAGATAAACTGGTTATTCATTAACACATATAGACTATAAGGAACATAACTGCTCTGAAACATTAAGTATTATTAATAGCAAAGCAAAAAAAAACAAACCTAGAACATAGAAAGCTTCTGATGCATCAGAAATGACTTTTCCCAATATTTAAATTTTATTATTTATATCATAACCGGATTATTTTTAGAATGTTTGTGAGATTTAAAATATTAAAGCAAGTTATTTAATAACAAGGTCAGTGCAGAAGCGCCTCTCTTCAACCAACTGGGGAAAGAGAGGGCATTCCTCAAAATAGTCACAATGACTGTGGGCATACTTTGTGCTCTGGCTTGGCTTATATCATTTCAGCCAAATAGTATTTATTCGGTAAGTCATGAATACAACTAAGGAACACTTTCATTAACTTAGTAGGTTTCTTATAATGATCAGGCTGGTATAGCTAAGAATTTAACCCCAGTTTTAACTAGGAAGAAGAATTTTGTTCTAGGTGTAATACTTACCTATAGGTATGTCTATGGAGATTCTCAGTCACCCAAGGTCATGGTTCTCCCAAAAGTGCTTTTTCAAACGGCAACTGGACTTTCCTTGAAGACTTTTCACTTCTCATCCAAGAAGCTTCTTCAGTTCTGACTGATGAAGGATGGAAGGATTTATATTCCTCACAGTCTACATTCTGGACAGAAAGGATTGCTGGTTTGAAAGAGGGGTCAAAGAGTCCTTCTACCTTAAGATTGAACAGCCCTCTCTCAACAGAGGAGGGATACAATATGACCTATCTACTGCTTATAACACAGTCCGTTCAACAGTTCTAAGAAGGTTCAACACCAATTTGCCTATTCACGTGACCCTGAGGGCAAGATAAACCTTCAAGTGACCTCAACACTCTCAGAGTGCTAATGACCAGATGAAAAGAATATAAATCCTTCTATCCTCCACCATTTAATCTGAAGAAGCTTCTTGGATGAGAAAGTGAAACATCTTCAAGAAAAAAACAAACAAAGTCCAGCTGCCTTTTGAAAAAACACCTTTAGGATTACCTACCGATAGAAAGCATATATTTACAGGGAAAATGGCAACTGAAAAACTCAACTTACTAATTGGAAGAAATAAGTAAGTTACCAAGATTCAACTACGGGTAGTCCTCGACTTGGAACAGTTCATTTAGTGACCATTCAAAGTTACAACATCAGAAAGTGACTTATGACTAATGGCCAATGCAGCTTATAGCCAATGTAACATCCTCATGGTCACGTAATCAAAATTCAAACACTTGGCACCTGACTTATATTTATGATAGGAAGCCAGATTTGCTTAACAGTCGTGTTACTAACTTAACAACTGCAGTGATTCACTTAACAAACTGTGGCAAGAAAGTTCATAAAATGGAGCAAAATTTACTTAAGCGTCTCGCTTAGCAACATAAATTTTGAGCTCAATTGTGGCTGTATATGTAGGACCACCTATACCACATTTTCAGCTGAAGTACCAGTGAAGCTGGATTAGACCTTATTTTGGGAAAAAGTTGTTGAGGGTTTGTGTTTCTGTCTCTACCGTTTTCCTGGAACATGTTGCATTTGGCATACAAAATTTAATAAATGAATAGAACTCTTATTACAGTTTCTCAGAGTTAAATATTCTTAACTAGAATTTTGATACAGAGATCTGAGGGGATTCTTGGATTCAAATGGTTTTGCTTTGTGGAATAAAATATTTAGTAGTAGCTACTTGACTTTTGACTTTCCCTTTAGAACCAATGTATATGTTGTATAACAAAAACAAGAAGAGATAGGTCAAAAGTTCAGTTAAACTATAAAGATCATTGGGTAACCTTTGTTCTGTTAACTGGCTATCACACACAGTAAGCTAAATCACACACTAACCAGCCCCAGTTTAGCCTAGAACACACCCAATATTTTTCAACATGTTCATATATTTAGTTAGAATTTTCAAACAAAAGTACTCTTCATTAATTTATTGTAGGGTCAGGTACACCAATGACATAGTTTGACACGTGGTTTAATTTTGGACTAATGTAGGCACATTTTTTTCACAGAATCAAAAGTTTGAATTCATTCTTAGTTAAAAGATGCCTCCTGCCAATACAGTATCAAAGATAACTGAACATTTGCCTCAGACCAGCAATATCTCTATCTGGAAAAAAAGTTTGTAGATTCCAAGGGATTTGCTCCAAATTTTAAAGCATTAAGCAGCATTAATTACAGAGAATCTAGCCTTTTCTTATACTGAGCAAAATATATCTGAATGTTCTTGTTCAAATTTACTCTGAAATTATTCTGCTCCTTAGTCTGAATAAAGGCAAAAGAAAACATTATGGTCTAAGTAGCACCTTCTTTTACAGTCAGTTTCATAAGGAAACAAAAAACAAGAGGCCCAAATAGTGAAAACAAGTATCTTCAAAGACATCCCTGTATAATTTATATACTTCCTAACAGTGAAGCACTTTGAATTTGATCTCCAAATGTGCTTTGGAGAGCCCTGGAGTGCAAATGTAGCTCCATTTGCAACACTTTAAAGCAGTTCCATCTTTTCCTTGGATTGTGCAACTGATGAACAGGCCCAGGAAATAGTCACAGCTGCTGTAAATTGTTTAAACAGATCTTACATTCACACTCCAAAACCCTTTTGAAAATAGGAATTAAGACTATGAAGCACATTGGATTGTGTGTTGGAATATAGGCAATGAAACAGAAATATGGATCAGAAAAAACACTCCTCTAGGCCTATTGCTCTTTCCCCCAATCCTTCATATCTATAGGCAAAAGATATAAATGAAGTTCTTTTCTTGAATATTTCTTTTCTTCATCATTCAAGACACTAACACAGCTTGACAGCTGAAGAGAGAATTCTCTTCTAATATGAAGTATGAAGATGTGGATAATTCATTTGCAAACAGAGCTGTTGGTTAGCTTAATATAAATTAATACTCCCAAATCATAATTTATAAGGAGTAGAGCAGTAACCTAGAAAAACTGGCTAAAGGATTTTAGAACTGAAACTTCAATTCCATCCTGCCCAAAGATAATAAATAATACATCAGCATAATAAATCAGCTGATGACTAAAGAACAATAGGGAGACCAGCAGTCTTCACTTGCACTTGTGCTGACACATCTATGGTAGCCAATGTAGAAGATGATCCAGGTTCAGTGCTTACTCTGAGGAGATCCATATTTACTTAAGGAAGTTGTCTAGTTTAGTCTGATTGATGCCAGAAGCAGAAGGTATTATTTCTGTTTGCTTTGAAACAGTTCTTTTCTTGCTTTTCATAGTCAGGGGCCGAATCTCTGTTGGAAAAGTCTAAAACAAGTCAAGGAAAAGAACCATATATATATATAAATAAAGCAGTGTTTTCTTGTGATCTCTATAGAGTTCTGACTCTATTAAATTCACAAGAAAGAACTGCAGTAAATTTTCTCCAGATTTATTTTCACCCACTAACTATAGATATTTATAGCAAGACCATTTGAATGAATTCAAAGTAATTATTATATAGAGATAATATTCTCCTCAGTAAATTCCATTTTGCCAGCTGCTCCTGATGCCGAATAAACTGCAGGACAAAACTATGTTCTCATAAAATATGTTCTCATTAAGCAATCTATATACCTCAGCAATACATCTTCCTTCCCCTGTCCTGATCACTTTCTATAGAGGGACGATCAAGAGCATCCTGTCATATAGCATCACAGTCTGGTTTGGAAGCATCACTGCTTCAGACAGGAAGGCAGTGCAGAGAGTGGTGAAGATGGCCAAAAAGATCATTGGCAGCTTCCTCCCTCCCATCCAGGACATAGTACAGAAGTGTTGCTTGAGCAGGGTCTATAAGATTATCTGGGACACTACATATCCTCTCCACGACCTGTTTTCCTTGTTACCTTCTGGGAGGAGGCTTCGTGGTATCCGTAGCAGAACATCCAGATTCAGCCATAGTTTCATTCCATACAGCATTAACCTTGTGAACTCTCAAGTTTCCTCCTTCCGTTATATATTCAAGATGGACAGTATTTAATATTTATTTGCTATGTATATGTAGGGATGTGGGTCTATACATATGTTGTACATAGTATGTTTAGGTATGTGTCATGTATGTGTTTCACTTTGAGAACGGGCAACTACATTTCATTTTTGATGTGTGTCGTTGTGCCCACAGTAAAAAAAATGACAATAAAGGTTATCTTATCTTACATCTAAAACTGGAAATCAGTCTTAACTTCTAAGATGTTAGCATAAAGGATACAGGCTGAATGAACTTGGTTCTGCCTCCTAAGCCATCATACCCAATTCTTACCTAGAAAAGAGAGAATTTAGTAATTATTTTGAAAATGTTAATAAAGGTCAAATACCATTTTGAGCAGGTGATTCTAAGGCTCCCTGTTTCTCTCCAGAACATCTAAACTTGGGTAGGACTGTGAAAAGACTCTAAGAAACTGAATAAAAATGTATGGGTGAAGACATCACTTATAAGAGTTTCAAAATCCAGCATCAGACATTACGTTGCTCAGAGTCACCTTGAACATCTAGATAGGTGGCAAATAAATTTAATAAACAAATAAAAATAAAATAATTGTGAAATAAAAATAAAATAATTGTGTTCCAAAGGAAATTAATAGCCAGTAAAAATGGCACTAGATGATATAGTCTACTCTAAATGCAAAAAAGTGACACTGGCCACATTTTCATAAAGATGTATCAAATCATATTAAAATGATAGATGTTGATATACATCTGGAAGAAAGATACTTTCTTTTCAAGACAATGAAAGAAGTACCAGGAACAATAACTACAATCAGATTCTTTTATTGTACACTCTAATAGCAAACTGAGCATTGACTATTACTAAATGAACTTGGTGATACCAGTAAGGTTAATAGAATATCAAGATTTGTAGATATTTTAAACATGGTTAAAATATTAAGAGAAAAGTTAAAATTCCAAGACCCAAGATCCCCATAATTTAACTGTAGTATTGATCAGAAACCCTTAAACACTGTACCCTTTTGTGATAATCTCATTTGAATGATACTTACAATTCCTGTATTTTTCTGGGGTATGCTTTTTAGAACAGTTTTCTTAGTCAGGACTGACTTTCTTATAAAAGAAGGTAAAAGATCTTCTAGATGCTCATCATCTGTGTCAGTAGAGCAGTTCTGATTTTTTAAGAAATTAAAGTTAATGTATTAATACCTAAAACTAAAATTAATGTAAAATTAAAATTAATGTACTTCCAATTGCAATATTTAATAGGCAACGAGTATGCAGCAAGTCCAGGGTTGTGGCAAAGAAACCAGCTTCTTCAAATATTCTTTGAGAAAACCATTTTTCTTTAAATAACAGCTTTAAAGTTTTCAAAGTCAGCAGCTCTGGTCCCAGAAAACAGGACACAGACAGAACACATAGATAAACAAACAAACAAATAAACTAACAAACAAACAAATTCAAAGTTGGCTACAGAAGACCTCAGGCGTTAATCATAGCATTAATACCGTTTCCCCAAAAGTAAGACCTACCCCGAAAATAAGCCCTAGCTTGATTTTTGGAGGTGGGCCTAATATAAGCCCTACCCCCAAAATAAGCCCTAGTTTTGGGTTGAGGCACACACTTAAAAATCAAGCTAGGGCAGGGGTGGGAGGTGTGGATCTGCCCTATGTGCCCCGCACCCAATTACCTTGCAGTCAGGCCTCCCCTCACTGGCCCATTTCTTCTGAGTTGTCTTCTGCAGCCAGGCCTGCATTTCTCAGTCACAGGCCTTTCCTGAAGGCCTCTGCAGCCGATGACCGAGCTAGATTCAATCCATAGATCGGTACTGCATAGGCCTTCCAGAAAGGCCTGACTGCCAAATGCAGGCCGGAATGCGGCTGCAGAATGAAGCTGCTCCTTCGGCCACAGAAGAAGTGGACCAGCTGGGCGAGGCTGTCAGTGCCAGAGGTGAGTAAGACATCCCCTGAAAGTAAGACCTGTGCCTCTTTTGGCGGCAAAAAATAAATAAAATAAGACCAGATCTTATTTTCGGGGTAGATGTACCACCTAAAACATGTGTTGCAGTGAAGTCAATAATTATTCAATATTTGCATAGAACTATATTTTAATAGTCTTGAAGGGGAATGGGTTGAAGCAATTACAAACTTATGACTAAATGTATTAATTACTGTACCTCCATTGTTCCTTTCAGAACTCTTGATAAATTTGTCACAGATGCCCTAAAACAAACATATACATAGAACATAATGTTAATAGCCACTTAGATGTCCTCAATGAGTTTCATTCTAAGCTTTCATCTAAAAATAAGCCTGCTGAATACTTCCAGTGAATGCCATTGCGAACTGACTTCCCTAGAACAGAGGATAACATTGCAGTTGAAAACAACATCTGAATGCCGGATTTGAACGGTTCAAATCATTCTGGAGAAAGGAGAAATCTTTAGATTACCCACATCTACTCCAGACAGCTGATTATTATTATTTTTTGCTCAGCAGATGGCAGAAACGGGTTTCGTGGTTAGCTTGCAATTGGCTGGATGTTGCAGGATTTCACCTAGCTTAAAGCTGCTAATGTAGCCTATATGGATTCTAGGTTTGGCCAAGGCTCACCTCTTAATAATTTGGATTTAATATTTTTTTTGCTCCTTCTTAAAAGATTGAGAACCTTTAGATTGGCAAATCTTATTGAAAACATTGGGTGAGTTTTCTTCAATCCTTTAAAAAATAAATTTTAACAACAAGTTTAAAGATGTAAAAAATAATTATAGGAGAATATGCAGCAAAAGGTTTGTTGGCTTTAAAAAGTTTTAAATGGATTAAGGGTTCAGATGGACATGATTTAAGATTTTTGAAGTTAATTGAAAGAATCCTTCCCTTGGGGAAATACCTGTTTATATTTAAAAACAACTGAGAAGATAACATTGAAGGTTGAACACAAGAAGGCACTGAAAAAAGTGGATTAATGGCTGCCTTAAGAGAGATCTATCATGAATGTGCTCAGAAAGTTATAAAAGTTAGTCAAGTTTTATTGTTTCTACTGGGTTTCAATTACCTTTAAATAGTAGACTTGCAAATTATAAATTGTTCTTTCAGAACTCTTTGTGTGCAACAATTGATATGGCTTTTGTTAAGACATTTACAGAAATCAGAAAAATAAGGGCAATAGTGTTTATAAATTCAGTTATATTTGATGCATGTTTCTGCAGGGATCAAGAACTACTAAATTACATTTTATTTCTAAAGCTTAGCCATAGAATTTAAGATAATTGAAAAATTATTCATGGCATTTGCATAAAATGGAATATGAGGCAGACTGAGCAAATATAGGAATAATAAAAGTAAGAGGTTGTACTTACGGGTTTTTATCTAGCTTGATTTTTTTGGCAGGAGCAACAGCTGTCTTGTGAAGCTTTGGAGTATCTACATCAAAGGTAGCATTAAGGTCAATCTCATCATTGTGAACAGGTTGATGAAACTTTGGATTCAGAAACTGTGCAGGAGCAGGGCTGTAAGGATCAATTAATATCACAACAGTATATAACATGATCAATTGGATAATTACACAAATGCATCCTTCTCTGCTTCTAGCCTATTTCACATGCTATCATCCTAAAAGTTAGTACTGATATCAAAAGGAAATGGCCATAAAAAAGAATAAAGAAAACCCTATTTAAAAAATAAGCCAATGATCAAGTATTATGTGTTCATACTTTGGATACTGGCTACATGTACTTCATATCCTATCTTAATATTCTGGAAAACATATCCATCCATCCATTCCCCACTGTTAATGTTTTACAAATAACTAAAGGTGGCAAACATATCCAACATAACATATCCAATAGATATTGCTACCCTGCTTCATCATGGAAGGGCAGTGTTCCTGGGAGGGATGAGCAAAAAATACTGGGAATGTTCAATAAGAGTACATACTCAGAAGAGTATTGGAAGAAATTGAAGAATTAAAAGTTCTGTTATTTTTAGTTCTTTGAGTTGCCTCGCTCAACAATGTTAATAAAATAGATATTAAAATATTTCTATATCTATAAAATTAATTTCTCTAAATACTATCCAGAATCTACATACATATAGGTGCCATTTGCTTCGCTACATATCGAACATTTATAGGATCCTTTGCAGCGATTTTACCTGCTTATATAAGGATATAATGCCACCTGTGAATCATTTTTAAACATTTTTCTCTGATGTTTGCTGATATTAATCATAATATGGAATTGTGTGTGAGTCCATTGGGTGTCAGAGATAATAAGTTCTCTGATTTGTCAGCCACTTAATTTCCATTTGTTCTTTCTCTCACTCATCTATCTGTCTGTCTGTCTTTAAAGGCTGCCCAAATATAGAATGACTCATTCAAATTATACTAAATGTAGAAAACAATAAAAAAGATTGCATACATACAGACAAAATATTCCATATAATAGAAAACATTACTAACAACCCAGAGTTCTCATATTTTAGAAACATTATGCAAAGACCTGTTGACAAGTCTATAATATTGAAAAAGGTGGAAGGAAAGAAGAGAGCCAGCAGCAAGGACTTGATTAAAGCAGCAATAGGTGCACAACTGCAAATCTTGAAGGACCAGGCTGAGTACAAATGATCCTGGAGAAGCTCTATTTTTATGGTTGCTAAGAGTTGATACCAATTTGATGGCTAATAATCAAACACATCCTGCTATAAGAGTTTCTACATTTCCACTGCAATTTTGTTAGGATTATACAGATGCCAGTGTGGTAAATATAAAAGGGGGGGGGGGGAAATGACATTGCCATAGGTGTATACTACAGACCACCCAACTAAACAGAGGAAATGGATGAACTTTTTGCTAGTCAGCTAACTAAGGTATGTAGGAAGCACATCACAATAGTAATGGGGGACTTTAACTACCCTGACATCAACTGGGAGACAAACTCCGCACCAAGTGGAAGATCAAACAGGTTCCTGGCAAACCTAGCAGACAACTTTGTCTCCCAAAAAGTAGAGAAGGGAACTAGGGGGTTAGCCATTTTGGATCTAATTCTCACTAACAGAGATGAAATGATAGAAGTTGTTGAAGCCATAGGAACCCTGGGAGGAAGTGATCATGCAATATTAGAATTCAACATTATAGAAGCACAAGCAATAGAACACAGTCAAACTAGAGTCTTGGACTTCAAGAGAGCTAATTTCAATAAACTTAGAGAGGGCTTGGGAAGGATTCCATGGATGAGAATCCTCAAGGGGAAAACAACTCAAGAAGCTTGGGAAATTTTGAAAAATGAGATAATAAAAGCACAGTCTAGCACAATACCAACAAAGAGGAAAAACAACAGCTCTCAAAAGAAACCAGCATGGCTGCATAAAGAACTCTCTGACAAATTGAAAGATAAAAAGGACAAGTATAGAAAGTGGAAAGAGGGGAACATAACTAAGTCAGAATATCAGCAAATAGCCTGAGCCTGCAAAGATGAAGTGAAGAAAGCCAAGGCTCAAAATGAACTAAGGCTTGCGACCAAAGTCAAAAATAACAAAAAAAGCTTCTTTCAACATGTAAAAAACAAGAAAAAAGTGAAGGAAATGATTGGTCCATTAGTGGGTGAAAGTGGCAAGAAGGTGACAAGCAACAGGGAGAAAGCAGAACTATTTAACTCGTTTTTTGCATCTGTCTTTACACAAAGGGAAAAAAACAGACCAACCTATCAAAAATAGTGCCATAAAAAACAAAATAGAAACACAAGTTAAGATAGGCAAGAAAATGGTTAGTGAGCACCTGTCCAGCCTAGATGAGTTCAAATCGCCAGGACCAGATGGATTACACCCCAGAGTTCTCAAGGAACTGGCAGATGTGATATCGGAGCCACTGAACTATATTTTTCAAAGATCCTGGAACACAGGGGAACTACCAGAGGACTGGAAAAGAGCTGATGTAGTTCCCATCCTCAAAAAAGGAAAAAAAATGGATCCAGGAAATTACAGACCTATCAGCCTGATCTCAATACCTGGGAAGATCCTGGAAAAGATAATCAAACAACGAATCAATGAACACCTAGAGGCAAACAAAGTCATTACTAAAAGCCAACATGGGTTTGTCAAAAATAGATCATGCCAGACAAATCTTATTGCATTCTTTGACCAAGTGACAAAATTAGTGGATCAGAGGAATGCTGTGGACATAATTTACTTGGACTTCAGTAAGGCATTTGATAAAGTAGATCACAACCTACTACTTGACAAGATAGAAAAATGTGGGGTAGACAGAACCACCACCAGATAGATCCGTAGCTGGCTGACCGGCCGTACTCAGCGAGTGGTCCTCAATGGAACTGCATCTATATGGAGGGAAGTGTGTAGTGGGGTGCCCCAGGGCTCTGTTCTGGGCCCAGTACTCTTCAACATCTTCATCAACGATTTGGACGAAGGGATAGATGGGGAACTCATCAAATTTGCAGACGACACCAAGCTGGTAGGAATAGCCAACGCTCCAGAAGACAGGCTTAAGATACAGAAGGATTTGGACAGACTTGAACACTGGGCACTAACTAACAAAATGAAATTCAATGGTGAAAAAAGCAAGGTTCTACATTTAGGCAAGAAAAACCAAATGCACAAGTACAGCATAGGTGACACCATGCTCAATAGTAGTAACTGTGAGACGGACCTCGGAGTCCTAGTAGACAATCACCTAAATATGAGCCAGCAGTGTGCTGCAGCTGCCAAAAAGGTCAACACAGTGCTAGGCTGCATTAACAGAGGGATAGAATCAAGATCACGTGAAGTATTAATACCACTCTACAATGCCTTGGTAAGGCCACACTTGGAATACTGCATCCAGTTTTGGTCACCACGATGTAAAAAAGATGTTGAGACTCTAGAACAGTGGTTCTCAACCTGTGGGTCGGGACCCCATTTGGGGTCGAATGACCATTTCACGGGGGTCGCCAAACCATGCTGTCCGCCATTTTTTTCCCTTTTCCCTAGCTGTCCTACTCCCTCTTATTGGTGGCCACACCCACTTGGGGGTCACCACAACATGGGGAACTGTATTATGGGGTCACGGCATTAGAAAGGTTGAGAACCACTGCTCTAGAAAGAGTACAGAGAAGAGCAACAAAGATGATTAGGGGACTGGAGGCTAAAACATATAAGGAACGGTTGCTAGAATTGGGTATGTCTAGTTTAAACGAAGAGAAGGACAAGGGGGGACATGATAGCAGTATTCCAATATCTCAGGGGCTGCCATAAAGAAGAGGGAATCAAGCTATTTTCCAAAGCACCTGAAGGCAGGACAAGAAGCAATGGTGGAAACTAATCAAGAAGAGAAGCAACCTAGAACTAGGAGAAACTTCCTGACAGTGAGAACAATTAATCAGTGGAACAACCTGCCTCCAGAAGCAGTAAATGCTCCAACACTGGAAGTTTTTAAGAAGAGACTGGACAGCCATTTGTCCGAAATGGTCTAGGGTTCCCTGCCTGAGCAGGGGGTTGGACTAGATGACCTCCAATACTACTATTATTATTAAATGACAAAATACTGAAGTTTATTAAAAGGGTCGAACTCTCTTAAAAGGAAAACTCTCTTCCCCAAATATTGGAATACCGCTGTCACTCAGATCATTACTGGACTAAATGACCAAGTTAACTGATACAATGTAAGAAGAAACTTCATAGTCTGCATAGTCTAAATGTCTGCATTTATTATACAGTTTAGGCATAATATCTTCATTGTTTCAAATGTTAATGTTCTTCCTTTGCTAACCTTTCAGAGACGAGCCGGCTAACTGCTTCACTAGTTAATGATGGCACTTTTATGGTATCTTGTAGCACTCCTATCTTTTTTTTCAAACTCTGGGGAAAAAAAGAAGAAATTTTAAAAAAAGAAAACTTTAAAGTCAAGATATATATTTTCTGTTTTGTATTGATTCCGTGTTGATTTTGAGGAAGAGAAATCTGCATGCTTTCACTTTAATGGGAAAATATTTGAAAAGAATGTTAAGTTATGAATAGGGACACAAATAATGCATGGAATAAAGACCGAAAGGAAAAGTTTTACCATAATCTCCTTATCTGCATTTCTCAGATCTGTCTGTGTATTTCTCAGTTCTTCAGTTGTTTTCCCCAACTCTAGAACAATTTTCTGGAGCTATAGATTAAAAACTATGTATCAGAAAAGCAGAATTCATTGAGGACTAAAATTACACAAAGTTTTATGTATCCCCAAATTACCATAATTGTGCTTAATAAAAACACATTCCCAAATGCAATGTTTTTAAAATTTATCACATTATAACAGAAGCCCGAAAGAGCCATCTTGAATGTGAACAGCTCACCTACGAAAGAATAATTTTTTGTCCTATCAAAGTACCTGCCGGAGTTTCAGGGAGGCTCACGAGAAGCTATTAATGCATCCTGAAGCACTATTTATTTCTGGTAAATCTATAAAGAATATTTGTGATTCTCAGTATGTGCTCAAAAAAGTTTTTTTTTAAGAAATCAGCCTTCTATATTTTGCCCTAATAGCCTCCAGATAGTTTATTTGGCAGGATGGGCAGACAGAGAACGACCCAAAAGTTATTCAGTGAATTTTCATTCCTGTGTGTAAACTTGAACGTAGTATTCTCCAATTCCAGCTGAACACTTTAACCACTAACCAAATGTACTTATGCAGTTATATATTATTGAGACGTGCCTGCATTATGTACAATGTATCAATACTGAAACAGAATAATTGGCACATATTTCAAGATATTTCAGTGACCTATAGATTAAAAGGCATGTACTCTGCTCTCTCTGGTAGTTGAGATCTTTACCTCAGTGTGTTGGGAGCTTGACTGGCTATCAGCATTTCATATACCTGCTCTTAGGATATATTATTTAATAGATGTTGCTACCTTAATCATTCCCAAATAGGAATAAATAGGCATGAAAAACAGGATTTAAAGGGTGTTTTTCCCCCTTTATCGTTTCACAGAATAATTACCAAGAAACCAAAGTAAGCTCAGATATCAATGTCCCTACAGTTTGTAGCTGGTCACCCAACCTCCAATTACAAATTACTTTTACCCAAGTACCCTGGAACATGATATAGAGGAAAGGTGCAAATGGATGACTATTGCTCAGCATCGTTAAATAATTCTGTTCCATCTGCCATTCTGAGTTAATCTTTTGGGCTCACATTCCTTGTATTAATTTTGAACATTCTCAGAACAGGGCATTAAGGCACATTCTAATTAGGACATGTGCCTCCATTCATTCCAATGAGACAGCAATGTTATTGTGAATATTTCAGGGCAGTCAGTGCTTAATTAAAGAGGGTAGGAAAGGAACAGCTATATGATAACTTGAAATCACTACTAACAAATAGTTGCTGACCTCTTCTGGCTGACCTCTGAAATTGTTGTGCTCACTGGTGACACAGATTTTAATAAGGAAGAATTGATTGGTATAAATCACACTTCACTAGACTTTTTTCTTTTTTGTGTGTGCAGAAATTGATGAACTTGTCAGTATTGCATTGCATGGTTACACAGACAAACTGATGGATGAAACAATGACAATTTGAATCAGGAGGGTTCAGTTGAACTTAACGTTCCAATTAATAACTAGCTACCAAATTGACTATGCCGTTGGCCAAACAAAAAATGTACTTAGGTGATAGTACAGAGAATGAATTTTAAATAGATACTCTGCATGTATCTGCAGGAATATTAATGCAACTTTTACCTTATGATTAGCAGAAAACAACTCCTTTCTCAATTTTTCGACTGTATCGTTTGATGCTTTCTGGGACTCCTTCAGACTTTCATACTCCCTGAAAGAGCCACAACTAATCAGTTGTGAGTTTGCTTGCAAACAAGGACTTGGGTTGACAAAATAAAGCCAGTAAACAAATCTCAAGTCATTATTTAAGTGGCTGCAAAAGTTCCTGTTACATATAAACAAGCAGTTTCAGTGTTGAACAGGCCAGCACTGATTTGCACAGTGTTAACACACTGACATCACTGAGCAGGTGAGAAAACATACTTTCACAAGGGAGCACTGTTAGGTTTGGAATAGATATTAAAATGGCAGAAAAGCATATCTCAAAACCCAAAGCAAACAATCTTTACTTATAGCAATGTTTTATATTTTACTGAATTCACATCTCACTGAAATGATATGTAACACGTTTTTTTTAAAAAAAGTTTACCTTGTGAAATCATTTGAGTAGCATTATAAAACAGTGTTGAAGCTATTGGTTACACTGCAGATATTTCATGGTGTAGCTCATTATTAAAAGTTGTGATTATTCATTTGCTAATGTTGCCTGCAGAAGTTGCAAATTAAACATGGTATAAATAGAAAGACCTCTCACACACCCTGTAGGGACTAGCAAGTACACTGTACTTATTGTGCCACAGCTACACAAAACGCTTTGCCCTGCACAGGGGAGATATTCAGAGGCCGTGCTGTATTACTCAGAATCATTACAATCATCCATCTCTTCCGTTCCCATCAAACAATCAGCTCCTAAAAACCCTGGCAAACCTTTAAAGGCAGTTTCCATAGCAATGATGTGTCACTAATACAACAATAGTACGCTTGCTGTGTTGAAAATCTTCCATTTATGCCACCTTGATAGCAGCAGGGCTCATGATATAAAACAAACTGTCAGCAGGAACAAGGCTCAAAAATTGTTTATTCACTCAACTCTTTTAACAGCTCCAAAATTTAATCTTTATAGTTTTTAAAATGATTTGCTTTTTAAAAATATTATAAATTTTATAGTATTTCTGCAATCCTCCTGGAGCCCTTAGTGGAGTGGACAGCATTTGCTAAATAAATAAAAACATTCTTTGACTCTCTGTTTGTAACTAGAGTCTCAGCATTGTTCTTATATCTTACTCACTGCTTCTTTAGAGGGTGCTATGCAAAATGTCTGAGCCAGTACACTTTTGAACGTACTTTTTCAGAGAGATGCAATAGACTGCAAGCTGTTCCACTGCTGCTTGCCCTGCTCCCATGTCACGGATCATCTCTTCTACTTGGGAACGCTGACCCTGCAACAGTGCCTCAATTCTGGAGAGGAGATAGGTTGGTTAGATGTTTTCTGTCTCTGCTAGTCATAGTACAAACGTAATAAAAATGAGAATGTATTTCAGAATGGTAAAAGTTCCACCCTGCCCCAAAGCTTTCCTCAAACATCTACGAGTATATTTCAGCCTTGCTGCGAGGAATTTGCACTGCTAGTAGATTAGAAGTTATATATACAATGAACAAGCAACAGTGAGCTCAGGTCTTTTCTAAGTAGTTTAGGAACAATTACATTTTTTTGTTCCTTGTTTATAACCAGCTGTTTGATTGAGAAATAGGAACTATTCACATGCTATTTCTCATATTTATTATAGGCATCCTGACAAATGAAAAACCATTAAAACCTTGGAGTACTAGAGTTCTGTCCATTTTATTAGTCCATTTTCAATCATATCCGTGACAAAAATATGACGAGGGACTGGGAATACAGATAATCCTCGACTTACGACCACAACTGAGCCAAAATTTATGTTGCTAAGTGAGACATTTGTTAAGTGAGCTTTGACCCAATTTACCATCTTTCTTGCCACAGTTGTTAAATGAATCACTGCAGGTGTTAAGTTAGTAACATGGTTGTTATGTGAATCTGACTTCTTCATTGACTTTGAAATGGTATAATTTCCTGCCTGAGCAGAGGGTTGGACTAGAAGACTTCCAAGGTCCCTTCCAACTTTATTATTATCATTATCATTATTATTATTTGCTTGTCAGAAGATTCAAAAGGTGATCACATGGATCTGGGGCACTGCAAATGCCATAAATATGAGTCAGTTGCCAAGCATTTGAATTTTGATCACGTGACCGTGGGCATGCTGCAATGGTCATAAGTCACTTTTTTCAGTGTCAGCGTAACTTCCAGGGTCACTAAATGAACTGTTATAACTTGAAGACTACCTGTACATACATGACCCTGGAAAAGAAAAGTTTAATTTAGAATTACATTTTCCTGCTACACTAAATCAGGATAGTTTGTCCAGCAAATCTAGGAATGATTCAGAATGGCAGTAGTGACATTAGCAAGGGAAACTTAGTTAAAAATATATCCTTCATTAAAACCACTGCAATTTTCTGGATACAGAAAATTCAAGTAATTATTTTTACCATGTTTGCTCAGATATTAATTCAGTATTCAAAAGAGAATAATCTCTTTTATACATGAAGTTGAAATTACATATTTTCTAGAATATTGTCTATGAGATAAAGCTTCTCTAACCTCTCCATAGATTTCACCTTCCTTCGTAATTTTTGAGTTTCTTCTTTTGCACTCTTTGTTTCTTCTTGTTCCTGTTCTAAATATCTCATTTGTTTCTGAAAAAAAAAGAAATATTAATGTATAAAAACAATTTCCTAAAAGCAACACAGATTTAACATCAATCTATCTCAAAAGCTTTAATTCACAATCTACATTTTGGATGCCTGGAAATCAACGTTTATTGTTCTACACATTGAGTGATTGAGAAAGCCAAAGAAAACCCAAAAGAAGTCAAAACATGCTTCATTGATTATAGAAAAACCTTTGGTCATGTCAAGCTATGGAAAGTGCTTAGAAAAATGGGAATCTCAAAGTATTTCATTGTCCTCATATGAAACCAATATAAGCTCAGGAAGGCACGGAATGGGCAAAAGACTGTGAAACAGATTGGCTTTAGGTTGACAAAGGAATGAATATTCAACCTTTGTGCTAAAATATATATTAAAAGAATCTGGTATGGAAGATGAGTATAGCTTTAAAAAGAAATAAAAACTTATATTACACCGATGACACTAATTTCATAACCAAAACTGTGTGGGATCTGTACGTTCTAATAATAAAAGTCAAGAAGCATAGAGAAAAATGGGATTAACTTTAAATGTAAAGACCAAATTAATGATAACATGCAACAACCTGCCTTAGACTGGACACTAAAGATACAAAAGTGGCAGATACATTCTGCCTCTTAGGATCAACTATCAACAGCAAAGGAGTCAGCAATCAAGAAACATGTTGCAGACCAACACCTAGTAGGATTGAAATGAAGGCCTTGCAAGAGATATGAGATGCTATGATGTATTTATATTGTCAAAAATCAGAATTATGCAGGCAATGATATTCCCTGTGTCACTTTTGGGAAATGAAAATCGGGCTTTGAAAAAGCTTTATAGAAAAAACATTGATGCTTTTGAACTGTTTAAAATAATTTTATTAAAAATTACAAATAGAAAGGTAAAAGATTAACACAAACTAAGGAAAATATAGAAAGTAAAAAAAAGAGAAGTGTAAAGAAATGTAAAAAAGAAAATAAAAAATCAAGAAAGAATATATAAAAGACTCCCTCCAGAAGCGGTGAATGCTCCAACCCTGGAAGTTTTAAAGAAGAGACTGGACAGCAATTTGTCCGAAATGGTATAGGGTAGTGGTGGCGAACCTTTTAGAGACCGAGTGCCCAAACTGCAACCAAAAACCCACTTATGTATCGTCCGGTGCCGATTGGGCGTGGCCCATTGGGTGGGCGTGGCTGCGGTGGTAACGGCAGACTGGGTGGGACTAAAAAGTTCAATCAATCAATTCCAACTTTGCGAGATCTTTTTTTCCTGTGAGAAGTTAAAATTGATTGATTGATTGAACCTTTTTTTTTTTTTGCACATGGCGGTGAAGGCCTAAAGCGAAAAGGTTTTATAAAACCCAGCTGAAGGCCTAGGACTGGGGTGACAGCACGCGTGCCCATAAAGGTGCCATAGGTTCGCCACCACGGGTATAGGGTTTCCTCCCTGAGCAGGGGGTTGGACTAGATGCCTCCAAGGTCCCTTCCAACTTTATTATTATTAAGTATAAACAATTTCAATAACTTAATACCTTTTCAAGTAATATTTCCCATATCTCATCCCTTATCAATAATCAGATTTTGTAATCTAACATAAATCCATTTAGTAATTCAACTTACCACTTTTTATAGAAATTAAAGCAATCTCTCCCTTCTTATAAATAAAACTTTAAAGCATTGACATTCAGTTCTGATCAAAATGAAATTCCATTTATAGCTACCAGAAATCATAATATACATATTCTAACCCTGGTCAAATAGTTTGTTTTGTAGTCTTTCAATTTCCTTCTAAAAAGCTTGGTCTTTAATCCTTTCAAGTAATGTCCCAGAAGTTGATTTCATATTATTTCCTTTTCAGGAACAATTTCAGTAGTTTAAATGTCCTTTTGTAAATCCATCATAAGAAAACTTTCCAAATCATTCTTATTATTCGTGTTTGTTTAGTTATTAGCCAGTTTCAAATATAAATCCACTGTGACATCTTTTTCCATATCACTCTTATAGCGTGGTTTTTTTTTACTGATTACTTTTGTAATCATTCTCTGTTTTATCCAGAAAGATACAGGTAGTCCTTTGATTTAAGAACATTCAAAATTATCAAGGCATTGAAAAAAAATCCTTACATTTCTTATTGTCATAGCGGTCACGTGATTGTGATTTGGGTACTTGGCAATCAGATTATGCGATGAAATGCAGACCGGATTCCCAAGAGAGAGTAGCTGTATTCCAGAGAAGCAAGAGATAGTGAAGTTTGTATAGCTTGGTCAGGAGGATGAGAGTCAATATAGCTTTTTCCTAGTTCTCAGAGTATATCTTTAGTGATTTAAGTAGTTTCCTTCAGATTGGCAAGATTTCAGCCTATAGGTGAGGAACAATAAAGAAAACTGCTTTGAAGTAATGCAGCATGTCTTTCTTGGTTTTTGGAGCATTATAGAGTTACTTTTTGAGGTGTTGAATAATCTTGCATGTAATTTCTGAGTACATTGTTCCCAAAGAGCCTTAAGTTATTCTATATAGTCAAGTAGTATTACTCCAATCCGATGTATCAACGTATCTCTTCTCCTTTAATTCTAACCTCCATGGTTCCCCCTAGTCAACCTTCAAAGTTTCCTCTTATCATATATTTTCCAATCAGCAAAATTTTCCATAGGAGGATTTCTTATAGATAATTTCAGGATCTCGATAACTTCTTTATAAGTTTTAAATGCCCACAAGAAAAACTCTTTTAAATCCACAAAACTGTTTTCACAATTGACTAGTCCCCCTTTTGTTGTTTTCCAAAAATCAAAGGTTTTTTTTTTTAATTCTTGAACTTACATAAAGGTTATTTCATCCAGGGTAAAAGGAAATTCTCGCAATATGATGAAACTTTCAGAAGATTCTTAATATTCAGATAAGCATTAACAAGCAAATTCAAAAAGTAATTAAAATATGAAATAGGCAAATCTAGTGTCAGTTTGAAGATGCTGACCTCAGCTTAGGAAGGATCATTTTTCTTGGTTCCCAGAGCTCTTAACTGGAGATCTCTATTTTACGATCTCTGATCTCTTCGCAGGCAGACTCTGTATGAAGCATACTTGTGGATGATCCTAGCCTTTCCCTTAACCAGGGGAGGAGAGAACCAATGAAGCTTCTTGGATGAGAAGAGAAATGTCTTCCTCAGGGAAAAGAAGTCCAGTTGCCTTTCGAAGAAGCACTTTGAAAGAACTATCACCTGGATGACTGAGAATCTCCACAGACAATCAGGAGAGAAGTTCCAGGGAGCCAGTCTGTTCACTGGCTTCTCTTTTTGCTGAGGTCATCAGCTCTGCAATTACTTCCCTGGAAGTCCACTGACACTTCTGAACTTCAGTATTGGAGAAGAGAATACCAGGAACAGGCAATATATATAAAAGAAAAAAGAAAAAAAAAGAAAAAAAAGAAAGATTTCTTTCTCCCATATTTGGGCCAACAGGGTGCATCAAGAAACACTCAAGGTAAATCTCCTCCCCCTGTCTCTTCCCTCCCTGATACAGCTGACGAAGTGAGAAGGAGCCTGTGGCCTAGAGGTTAATACAGCTGCCTAACATGCACACAGCCCAGGCTCGAATCTCGGAAGGGTAAGTGTGGCTGAAGAGAGTTAAGAAACTCGAAATAGCTATCCCATTCTCCCTTAATTCTTTGTTAGCAATCCAAATTTTATAATATATGTATGTATGTATGTATGTATGTATGTATGTATGTATGTATGTATGTATGTATGTATGTATATGTTTTCTGAGGTTTTTGCAGGTGTTTGTATGTAGGTCTTTGGTTATTTGGGTTTTCTTCCGCGTAAAATTGGAAGTGTCTTGGTGACGTTTCGACGAAGTCCCATTTGTCATCTTCAGGCTGGTGTTTTCAGCTTCGTGCTTTGAGGAGCATGTATACATATGTATATATCTGTATATATATGCATATATATGTATATATGTATGTATATATATATATGTATATATATGTAGGTTTATCAACAAAATCAACCATCAGAGCTGCCATCCTGTTTAGCCCTGCCACTTTCCTGACGCCAGAACTGCCATATACCAGTTTGGGGAGCAGGGGAGGGAGACATCAAGTAAAGGTGGGAGAGGAGAAAGAGAAACCACTTTGAGTGCTTGCTAGAGACATTGACTGATCAGCTCCAAGGCCACAGGATTGGGCAAACCATTGCTGAACCCGCCAACCACCAGACTTGTTACCAAAACAATGGGGTTGGGATGGGAGAACGAACCTGAGAAAGGGGAAAGTAAGCAGGTACTTTTTGTTTGCAAACCTCACATCTGGCTTTTCCCTGCTTGGTAAGCACTTAATGAAAGTATTCCTTTCACTACAAAATGCAGTTGAAGGCTTTGTAAATAGCCAAGTTGGGGCAAGCCTGACATCAACCCAAAGTTCTCCCTTAAGGCACAAATTATCAGGCTCAAATTATCCTACTTTGGACACATTATGTGAAGACCTAATTTTCTGGAGAAGTCTTTGATTCTGGGAAATGTGGCAGGAAAGAGAAGAAGACCAGCAGCAAGTGGATGGTGTTAGTTATAGGGTTAATGAGTGCATTGTTAGAACAGCTGAAGATTAGGGACAGCTAGTCATGGAAGAAATCTATCTATTTATAGTCCTTAAGTTACAATGGCAATTGGGATTAGAATTTCTGTCACTGAGTGATGTGGCCATCAAGCAAAATGTCACGTGACTGCATTGCTTAGACAGGGCAATCCCTGCAACCCTGTTAAGTGAGCACTGCCTTGCAAATTCCTAACGGCTTCCAACAACCAAAGTCACTGTGGAACCCAGCAGGAAGGTGTGAGTTTCAGGTGCCTTTCAAACAGCTGGCAGGTTAGTAGCTGCTGCCAGGTGGCAGAGGGGGGGTGCCCGGGTAACTGGGACGATGTGGCACAAATGTGGGGTTTGGGGTTTTTGATCCCAGGTGTGGCAGGGTGTGCAAATGGTTGGGGAGATGCGACACAAGCACAGTAAGATTCAGGGAGG